GGGGAGCTGCACTCACCAGCGCCAGCATCACCACCATAATAATTAGGAAAACCTGAAAATGTGTGGTCATTAGTTGATGATAATTTGTGAATGAATGTGATGGATAGGAGTCTGAAATCGATGTAGTCTATGCCGAAATGTCTTGCTCAAACCGAGCATTGTTGAGAAAAATTAGCTAGCGTGATATGAAATCGTTCATTCTGATGGATATATTCTTTCCATGAGGTTTCATTAGAAGAAACGCATATAATTTTCGTAAGCATTCCTTGTGGTAATTTAAATGAATAGTACAAATCAAATATATATGTGACCTAAATGCTTCGTTCTAATATTACTGCTCCCTCAAAATTCTTATTCTTGTATGAATTTTTAAATTGAAAATTTCTTCGATTTTTATGTAAGTGAATGCAATTAAGCGTTTTCTATCTACTCGTATTAACTCACTACTCTAATTTTATAATATTCCTCGTCTAATTTCGTGAGAAAAAAAATTTGTTTTAGAAAGCAAACAAAATGAAATGTTTTAATTAACAAACTTTAACCGAATTAAATCTTCGTTATTACTTTAAGGTGAAAAAAAATTCTTAAATTCAAGTGAAAGCTCATGGTTTTTAATAATGCTTACCGAAAAGAAGTTCATCTTGTCTGGCTCATTCGAAAATGATATTCTGCAATAAAAACAGGCACATGTGAAACAATCGATTTTAAAGCCATAAGAGGGTTATGAAGTAAAAATAATTATAAATAAGACTTGCTGTCAACTAAGGCGCACTCCTGAGATTACCAAACTGAGTTAAGGAAGTATTCCAATAAGTAGATTTAAACATCATTTCGTATTCAACCAATATTTAATGTAACACCCTTCCATATTTCCACCAATTCAATTTCTTCCACTGGACAGCTAGTGGCTGCATGAGAACCCTGCTATGATCTTTGAACTATAGCCCATTAGCCCATGATCTTCGTTCCAAAGCCCAAGCAATTTGAGAAATAAAAAGTGGTATCAGAGATCCTATAATTGACAGAACTACTGCACCTCCTGCACGCTAAAAACAACGTGCCGGCAGTACACGTTGAACTATTCAGAACTAATACCTAATGCCAATACAACAACAAAGCAACACGTATAATCTTTACAGTGAGCCTCCGGCGTGACCAGTTCAAAATAATACGTACACATGATAGCAGACGGACGCTGCCATCCTGTCACCTTCGAAATACGTGTTAGTAACTAATAACTTCAGTATTTAGCTTCATCCTGTTTTGATGAGTATAGAATGAAGGATATTTTGATCATAACTTGAAATGAAACAAACATTCCATTGAATCAAACGTTCAAAACTTCCTGTTTTGAACCAAGATTTGATAATGTTCAAGTGGGAAAATTATTTTGGAGAATTAATTAATTTAAAACTTTTCTCAACTATTCATAATAATGATCCCGTAGTAGACAAATAGATTTGTAAATTGTAAAATGAGGTAATTTTTGAGATTATTTTGCAAAATGTTACAAAACTAAGTTACGCATCCCCATATTCTTTAGATCTCCATGTGAACGAATTTATCTCAATGCGCTCAAATTAAGAATCATTTCTTTAAATTTGAAAGCCATCAATGGATGTGGTCAACTAATAGGGAGACAGAAAATATTTTTCAATTTCAATGTCCCTTTCCAGTTCTTGGGGCCAAGATAAAACTACGTTAGCATTGCAATTGAGATCCAGCAAAGGCTTGAGTTTTTCCTGTTGTTGCAATTATTGGGCGCTATTCAGCGACACAATATTATTAATAAAAAGTTATGTATGCTCCTTTGTCATTTGATTTTGTACCGGAAGCCGTATAAAAAATTAAATTTCTAAAATATCCACCGTTTTATTACCAGAAGGGAATTTAAAATTATTGTTTGAACAAATTAATTGATCATTTATAGTATTAAGATAACTTCAAATTATGGTAAATATTTTTCGTGATTGCTCTCACTAAATTTAATAACGATATATGAACAATTCGTACGTGGTAAAACGTTAAGGTAATACGCAAAATAAATGTTTAAATATTCAGCGACAACACGAAGTTGAAATGAAAGATATTTTGAGTGAAACTGCAATATTAGGTTGCGGCAACAATTTCCCAGCGCCTCTAAGTGGAACTTTCCCAAGTGAAGAATAGAAAAAATATAACTCAGTACTCACTGCAGTGAGTGACAGAGAGCGCATTTTCTCGTCGACGAAAACTTGAGGTCACGGACGGGTGGACAGACGGACGGACAGACAGAAAGACGGACATGGCGAGCACTATAGTGCATTTTTCCATAAATGAGAAAATGCGCTTAAAATATGCAGGCCACCGAGAAAAAATAGTTAATTTTAGAAATTTCTCTTCTTTGCGACAATGTTGGCTATAAAACGTATTTGATCGCGCACAAAGCCAGTGTAAAACCTGTCAAACTTCAGATGGCAAGCAAAACATCATGGCCTCAAGCTAAGAATCGTGACAAGCCGTTTTAATATTTGCTATTGGCTATTTCGAGAGTCCACCATCAATTTCAAGCAAGATTAGTGGATACTGGAAACCGCATCTTAGGGAAAACATTTTCTCCTAGGCTAGGATTGTTATGGTTCCAGATTCGAAGCCTAAATGCTTAAAACAAATCTCAAAAGCAAAAGCTTGCGGAAATTCGCATGGGATCTGTTGGTTGAATGAATTCCAGATCTGCTTGTTTGGATGAATTCCAGATATATTGGTTTAGATAAATTCTTGCCCAAATCATGGCACATCACACCACCGAGCTTGGCTGTTCAGGTGACAGTCTATCACTAGGCTGTTTTACAGCGTACGTAAAGGTCGCAGCGACAACCAGCGAGTTCATAACGTAATTAATATTTGAAGTTAATTGAAAGGCATCGTGCGTCGGTTGCAAACCTTGTTATTATCCTTATTTATTATCCAAACGATCATATGTTTTGCTTTAAATTCTATCCTTTCCCGTATCACAAATTTAATGGGGAAAAGGAATTTAAAAGCAAAGAAAACGCCAAGAAAATTTACCATATCGATATTGAAAACGTTTCGGAGTTTAGCTCCATCATCAGTCCGACTAAACTAAAAATGAATAAAATCATTTTATAAGTCAAAATATTTTATTATTCATTTTATTCATTTTTAGTTTAGTCGAACTGATGATGGAGCTGGACTCCGAAACGTTTTCAATATCAATATGGTGGATTTTCTTGGCGTTTTCTTTGCTTTTAAATTCCTTGTGAACTTGCGATATAAGCAGACTGATAATAAAAGCGCTTAATGGGGAAAAATTATGAGGCATTTTCAAAAGCATGAAGCATTTGCATATAGTTTTACTATTGCATGATTTCCCCATTGAGATTGGTTGGTGCGTTTCTCACTGTTTATCTGGTATTGTAATTATTATTTCGTTTTGTCTGTGTTTTTGGGGGAAACAAAACTGATACTTTCAGCCCAGGTAACACTGCTTACATTGCTATGGCATTAAATTTATTATTTCTGCCTTGAATCCATAATTTTTTCTTTCATTTTATCAGTAAAAAACCAAATACCTCATTTAGCTCACATTTCTCGGCTCTAAAGTTGATGTGATTGCGGGAGGATTATTGGATTGGGATTGGATATGGGAGTGGATGGAGGATTATTCAATATAGTTATAGAATAGAATTCCGAATCCATTTCTGCTCAATGAGTCCTAAATTGAGCTGATAGTCGGAGATGAGGTTGACTGGCAATCTGCCATCACTTGATGTCTGCGCCCAAAAGTTGGAATGATGTCCGGATCCTAGCTGTGTCCTATGTAATTCAGGATGACGATATTATAAATAACAGTAAGTAAAATTATGGGAAGGCTTTAAATAAAAAAGCGGACAATTTAGAGTTTGTGCGTAAATATAGGTCTTTTAAATCATGCCAAGTAGAGCAGTTGCCAGTACAAGTTGCATGAGCCAATGGTCCTGCCAAAAGCCATCCCAATGTTCACAGCAGCTAGGGTGCCAGAATTTACGATCTGGAACTAGCGCATTTTAAATTCAGATCTTTAATAACTAATTATTTTAAAGCAACTCAAATGCCTCATAAATTCAATACTATCTTAAGAATATATCGGAGTCCAGCTCCATCGCCAGTTCGAAAATTCTAGAATGCCAGTTTAGTTCTACATTTTTATAAGATAATCGGAAAAATATATCCAAGAATTTCTAATGTAATAGTAAATTGGCATATTAGAATTTGTGTTTCTTGTGTGAATGGAATGTATAACTGTTTCATTTAAGAACTCTTAACGAAATTAGTAACTCCAGTAAATTTTTATCGTACATATATTACCGAAAAAAAATTCTTATAATATTAATAGGGGATTCTAGGTTAGCATTCACATCTGGAATGCTTCTTCACGTGCGCCGGGATTGTCAAGTGTAATGATTGGCATTTATTGTAGGAGATAACGAGAGAAGGCAGTGCAATAATTAGATTTATTTCAATGCTCGTTATTTTTATCTCATATTCCGGTCAACTTGCACTCGTTTAAGTGTATATGCATTCATCTTTATTTTCGATTTTTTTTTTATTGCAAACAAAAGCTGGTGAGCTCGTTTATCAGATACATGTATATTGCATAAAATCAGAAGTTGTTATTAAATATCGTATCAATTCGTATGTATACCAGCTCACTAATTACCTACGCATTATTTCATCGAATCATGTGCTTGTCTGGTCACTTTCAAATCAATAATTCCTTCCAAATTTGTTTTCTTTGCTAAAACCAAGAAACGCTTAAAACAGGACATATTAAAACAAAATTTTGATTTCAAGAGCAGTATAAGGATATCAAAATATCTCTTGAAGAGAGTTTTTTTATTGAAAAGTCTTCATTATTTTTTTAATCCTTATTCTTTATAACACAACAACACAACAAAAGTAAAACAACGTGCATGAAGCAAATTTCAAAAAAATCTTTTATAAAATATAATGAGGTTTTAATATAAATGCATTGCTCAAAAAATAGTAGGCTAATATTTAAATGTAATATTCGTTAATGCTATTCATCATTTCCGCCAATGGTAAGTAAGTAATTGTTTTAACTAAATGCGCAATATCCCTTGATTTCTATGCATATCAAGCCCGTATACGATGTGCAGATATAAATATCTAGATTGAAGAAACGTGTCTAAACTTAGTCTGATCAATTGGCTGTAGTAATGCATTGGTGTTCAATGGTTGCAAATTCGTTTCATCGGCTTTAGATGGATCCTTTGTTTTAGCAATGTCGTGTACACTTCAGAAACTTTATAGTATGATGGTAAAAGAATCGCATTATTTATTTTGTGCAGAAGAAACCTACTTTATCTAAGGACAAAATTCTCTCCATAAATATATATATGTATTTATAGTTTTTATGAATACTTGCTAAAATTTTCTTGTACATTTCTCCTCCGTGTCCAGTCTCTACTCCAGTAATGGCTGCAGTTGAGCTATATATATTCTCTACCAGGATCCACTCGGAAAAAAGTCGGGCGAATTTAAATTTATGTTGGCATTGATGACACATTAAGCGTCTAATTTATGTTAGAGCACTCGATCATGCTCAGTGCTAATATATCGAACCTTAATGTATGAGTAAACTGGGATTATTTCACAAGATAGTTGGTTAATATTTAATACCCGTGTGTCTTGCAGACCTCACAGAATGTGTAGATGTTCTAAATGTTCATAACAAATGGAGTGAATGAGTGTATAAAACCAATGTTCCATATAGTGTCATAGTGCAACCAAATTTTTATGTACATTTTAGTAAATCATGTTCAATTTAGAGAAAAACAAAAAAGTAGCCCACTGATGAATTTAAAAGCCGATTTTACATTGTCCAACAATAATCTTTGGACATCCAAAGAACTAATCAATTCAGCTCTGATTGCTCCTGGTCACAGAACGCACATCAATCGCTAGTACGACTTGCCAATCATTTATTTGAATCTCTGTAATCCCAAACACCTTGAGCGACCACGATGGATTTGGCACCTTCTGACATTTCTCCTTCTGACATTTCTTCTGTTCGTAAACCTGTTGCCGGTGTCCCTCATTCTGCTCATTCTTTTGTTGATCTTCTGCCTCCCGATCATCGTGTTTCTGACGTCACTTGTGTCTGGCTTTATGTCAAGGCTTCTTCTATTGTAGGATCTACAGTATAGGATTAAATGATGTCCTCGTGCATTCCGCCGTGAGAATTATTGCTTTTGCAAATGACACAGCAAATGAATTGAAAAATATATTGCAAAATATTGAAAAATATTGAAAAATATTCTAGCTGTTCTGCATGACAAGCACCATTTATTGGTCTGCAGTATACATTACATTGAGAAGGGCATTTGCTATTCATGCCGTAGAAGAATTTTGAATACATAATAGAGGGGAAATAAGGTAGTACAATTATTTTTATAATAGGTGTACTTTGTTCAAAGAAGGGGTTTGAATCTGTTTTGCAAATGTTTAGAAAAATATTTTGAAAAACGTACAGTTAATTATTTACTATATATAATGCCTTTTTCATGACCTCATATCTATCCTATTAGTTTGATCCTAAATCAGAATTGAAGTTACAGATATCAATGTTCACAAATATCACTATCAGAGTTACAATTCAAAAATCAATGAGGTTTGTTAAATTATCGAATAAAATCCTATGCACACCATGTAAATCCTATGTATCCAAAATTTGATTTAAGTGAACATCAAGTTAGTGTGCCTTAATTCTATATGCACTTTTACAAGAAATAACGGCTCCACATACTACTGAACTTAAAGTAAGTTTCTTGCGATGGCAGAAATTTATTTTCAATTTTATGGCCTTTTAAAGATTCACCTACTCACAACAAGCTCGTCAATTTATATCAAATATTATTTGTTCTCTGGATTGATCTGCGTCGAGCGCACGTACGTTATAAATGCTTGATTTTCATAGAACTGGTACCGTAACATTGAGGGAGCTACGCGTCACTGCGTCATTTGTTCATGGGTAACCGAAAGAGGTATACGTACATGGCCTGAAAAATAAAGAGGGCCTACTTGCTAAAATTAGCGACTAGCTACAACATAAAACTTGAGACAATCTGGCAAATTAGAGGGCGACTAGCTGCAGGAGTGACAAGAAACCGGCAGGCCACGAGCTACAAAAGTGACATGGCCACTAAAAGTAAGGATAAGTCGAGATGTTTGCTACCCGCACATCATAACTATTATTACTAAGAGACGGTGACTCCATCGTCCTGCACCACGACCTGGGCCTCTACTTTCAAAATTTGCTTAGTGAACGTAAGTACTTACGCTCTATTTTCTTGTCTACGATTGGTGGATTTTGCTTGAAAGGCCGTCAATGATTGGCTGATGAACTTACGATCTCTTAACTTTTTTTTAAAGTATGGGCCCATGGCCCATTGGTCGAGACGATGCTAGAAAAATAGCCGATTCTTGTCGTACGTGTAGAAAGATAAATTTTATAGGATAACCGGCTATCCTAAGAACCCCTGGCGGCAGTATTTTTTAGCGCATTCTCACATTTATGGAAAAATGCGCCATTGTGCTCGCCATGTCCGTCCGTCTGTCTGTCTGTCTGTCCGTCCGTCCGTGACCTCAAGTTTTCGCCGACGAGAAAATGCGCTCTCTGTCACTCACTGCAGTGAGTACTAAGTTTATATTTTTTTCTAGTGACTGGAGGATGATTCAAAGGCGGGGCTTCAACCTTGGCAGTGGAGCTGTCCAGAACTTATCATTAGATTTTAAAACCGGGCAATATCTGTACATGTTCCTTGTCCAGGCGTAGCATTTGAGATGCGAGCAAGGTTAGGATTTGTACGTCATAATATTTATTACAGAAAATGCTTGGCTTGGGACACCCTTAATTGTTATTGGTAGTCATCGGACCTAATTTATTGTTTATAGCTTTTTGTTTAACCTGTGCTAAAGCAATACAAGAATTTCTGATAATAAAACGGGCGAAAAAACTGGAGTTGAGTTAAGATGGTCTTTGGGGGGATTGAAAATTATAGTTTTTAGGAAGTATGACTATTTCAAAGTAAAAACACCGAAAAAAATCACAATGGTTCTCTAGAAGATATTCTGATTAGTGAGGAGTCTCGATTGTGTTAACTGACTACTCTAATTTAAGCAAATAAGGCAAAAATCGTCAATGCAAGGAAATGTGGCGGCTCAATGGCCAGCGTCAACAGTGAAATTAATTGTTTCTTATTATGGTGCAATGCTACGAGTATGTATCATTTTGAAGTAGATGATAAAATAGGGCTTTTCAATCGTTTGTAAGTGGATGAATAATATATGAGTAAGCGCGATGTTACTTTACTGTAAGCGTTGAAATATCCTTGAGCTATACAATTGCAAAGATAACATTAAAACCTAGCAAAAACTATCAAACAATTGCTAATGCCTGCTTGTATTAACTCCCTTGAACTGTAAGCTGTATAAAGCTGTATTAGGCATACTTGCTATGTGTACCTATAAATATGTTGGTATCCGCGTTTGCCGTAAGAATAAAAGCCGTAGTTGGTGGCCCCCAGCCGACGCTCTCCAGGGAACCTCCTCTTGGTGGTGACGAGCTGGGGAGCTGCACTCACCAGCGCCACCATCACAACCACGAAAATCTGAAAGTAATTGACTTTAATCAATGATATTCAGTAAATGATTACAACAATAGAAAGTCGATACTCTACGCCTAAAATTATATGCCTAATTTAATCTAAAATTAGCTAACGGCGAAAAATGAAAAAAAAATCATCACATATATAATAATAATAATCGTTTCTTTGTTTCGTTGTTTAAAGCCTGTGTAGAGCGGATCTACAAAACCTATTATCTTGATATATTTACCTCAGCTAAAAATTAATTTCGTAGTTGGATACAAAATATATTCCTTAATAATCCAAAACTTGCACTAGAAAAACTCAGTTGAACTGCATAGCGGTGGGTAATGGAGGTTCTTCGTTAAACGTCGGTTTGAGTTTTTTTTCATATTACTTGGAAAGGAAAATTTTTCCATATCAGTGCCGAAAAAATAGATTTATGACATGATATTCTAATCTCAGAGTTAAAATATCCCGAATGACATCGTGTTTAACGGGTTCCTATATAGGTATGCCGGGTCACGCTTAGTTAAACGGGTAGCAAAATTATTATGTCTGGTGTTATATATACCGTGTTGACCATGTTTGCTACATATACATGCCAAGTTCTGCCGTGTTAACAGGGTTGCTGGGCCTAGTAAATTTATGACTCAGTATAAATCGGGCCTATTTTAGCACTATTGATGCGATAATAAATTCAAGTATGTTTGTTTATTTGTGACTTTGTTTAAAACCAAGTACTAGAAGTTTCTTCTGGATACTCGAGCGCGTATCCACAAAACCCACCATATCAAAATAATACCTGCATAGGAAATTTTTTTCTCCAGATCAAGATGCAATGGGGAATGAAGGATGCTATAGAAGTGCTAATTTTTTTATATGATAAATCGATCCTTTATTTTTAAAAACTGAAGTTAAGATCTCCGGTATCAATAATTAATTAAATTTCCAGAGAATTTACAATTTTGAATTCCCAACAGAATTGTCAGGATTCATCTGATAAACTATGATGATGATGATGATGATGATGATGAACATAACGTATGACGATGAACATAACTATGAACGATGAACACAACTACGAGTGATGAATATAATTTTGAATGATGCTCACCAGAAAGAATTTCATCTTCGTCCGTAATTCACTTGGTGCAGATATTCATCCATGAAAGCAAATCTTATAGAACAAAACACTTTTTGTAAAACGTAGAAAATATAAGCCAAGAGCCATTCAATTCCACTTTTATACTGCAATTAAACAGTAATATTACTTTTGGCAATCATTTCTACTCCATTTAATCCCGCTAAAGTCAATTATCGCACAATAATACAAGACACAGTGTTAATGGAACGAATTTGTTTCACAGAGCGGCAGTAAACAGGGAAGGTCGAGGCCGGTTGTATCCCGGCCTCGAGTCGATGAAGACAGACAGCGGTTGCTTAGCCATCACCGGTCTTATACTTGTAGCCTACACAACCGCTGGCCGCTGTAAATACTGGGTGAGGCTGTCGAAGATACAATTAGTATCTTCGCTGCTCGTAACGGTAGAGAATCTTCACAATGCATGTCATCCTGTGACCTTCGACAGGTTAACGAACCGCATGCAGAAAATCGTACACTGTGTGTGTCTTTTGAAATTGTCGAAAAATATATTGGCGATATATGTAGTTTGCTGTTATTGATGGTGTGAAATGTTTGCAAATCGGGCATCCCAAAGAAAGATTACAAAAAAGATAGCTCGATTCGTAGGCAAGAATTAAGGCTGCTTATGCAAGCGTTGTTCGCTGGTGCTTCGATTGCACTATGCAAATACTTCAATGGAAGCGGTCGATTGATTTAATGACACAATTAGTTTTGTAAAGACAGATAGACTTTAATCAATTTATATTGAACATCTAATGGAAAGATTGATCCGCAGATGCAAAATTAAGTGTCATTATAATTGTATAGTAAGCATGTATAACACATCTCGAACGTTAATGCATGAACAAAATTTTTAAAACTTAACAAGGAAAATATGAAAATTAAGGTCTCACAATCGTAAAAATGTCTGCTAATGCCCCTTTGAAACAGCTTCAATGATTTCGGGTTATATCATTGAACTTCGTCGACATTTTCTCGTGAAGAAACTAGCAATAACCTTTCAAAGGAATAATTTTCTCTTAAATTACATAATGCTGAGATGCATATCAGAGTTAAAGCCTGCTTCTTATCTTCTTATTACAACAAATCGAAACAAGTATATGTGTCTGAAGTAAACGTGAGAATATGATGTTATTTAGGCCGACTTGGGCGAGATGATAGTTCAATTCATTTCCGAATTCATCCTATATATTGCCACATACTAATTTACATGTTTTCTTGCCGCATTGAAAAGATTATAATTTAAAATTTGTGCAAATTCTAGTGTCAGAATTGAAAAAATGAAACATGAATTCACTACCGAAATTATTCGTCAATCCTAACAACATATCAATCAATCCTGTCATATCAATATAAGTCAATCCTGCATATACTTTATACATAATTCTGATGTCGATTTCCAAATTATGGATGATACACAATATAAATCATTGTTTTACCCTTGCCCAGCAATTCTGCATTTAAAAAGTACGGATAATAATTCTGAATTAATTTTTTGTCTTACCGAAGCCCTGATTTGAGTGGAAACAAATGGTATTTTTCACAAATTCTTACTAACAATGACTGAGTTTGCCCAAAGTAATTTTTTCTAGATGACCCAGTTTTTTCCCAATAAAAAATTCAACAAATCTTCTATTTGTTTATCACTTCTTGTACGACAAATTTAAGCCTAAAAGATAAAGAATACAGTATTATGACATTTAATTGGTTAACCCTCTCAACAAAAAATAAATCTAATGCTTCTCAGCAGGACTGTATGGCCTGAACTGTAGGACTGTATGGCCTGGGATTTTAATGCTTATCTTTCATTTCTCACCCACAAATATTCTTGCCCTTGCTCTACAAGCATCTGCCTAATATCATTATTTATCAGTACAATGAATTCGATACTCAAGTCGGACAGTTCTCATTCTGAATGACCACAAACTGTCATAAGCCTCATAAAGAGGATCGGTTGTGGCGAGATTCATGTAATCGGTCGAAAAAAATATTGAACGTTTTTGGAGGAATTGTCTATTGATTTCAAATTAATCTTGATGTGCGATAAGCCGTTTGCCACGCAAAAGTTTTAGACTTATCCGATGCTTATGCTTCCATACCGACTCAGAAACTCCGATCCTGGAAAACAGGATCTCTTTACTAACTTCTTTGCCTCGTCGCCATACACGAATTTCGGTACCGATCATTATTTTGTGCGCAATTTTCACTCTGGAGGATTACTTGTAGCTTCAAAACGTAACAATTATATTGAAACTTCAATATTCAATATAATATCGTTCACCTACCTCAGACGAATATTGTTTGCAATTGCAGCATATTATTCTGTCGGTTAATGTCATAGAGCATTACAGTGTAAGTGACTTTTGAATTTATTGGTACGGTAAGGATTGAAGTGCCCGGCGCACAATAATTCCACATGGGGAGAATATTGTTGTTACGAGCTGCATGGACTGCACCTGCAAAGCAGTGACTATGAAGATAAAAATTGTAATACTTTTTAAAGTCTGACAGTAATAATAAATTTTACATTCAACAAGCCAATAAAAGCTACATAAAATCAGTTTTCAATAACAATCCATGAGATCAACATATATTTGATCAGAAAAATTCCTTCGAGTTCACGAATTATTGATTTAATAACTAGTTCACTTCTGACTATAAAAAATTTTCACTGATATTCGAATTAATAACTTTGCTTTCCTGGCGCCGTTGAAATTTAGAATATTCCTGTGTTACTCATATATAGTCTCTGCACGTAGAACTGAGAAAGATAACTCTAGTAGCAAAAGGACGATTGAAAATTCCCATTTACACACATCTACCTATTCTTAATATTCAACGATGCCTGCAATGTTCCGTATAAGTCTCGAGGTAATTTTCCCTTGACACTGCCTAAAAAAATCTGAAAGCTTATAGCTGCATCATTGTCGGCTGGACTGGTTGTAAATGGTGAAGCCTGCAATCATGCCAAACCCACGGTTGAGCTGATATACGAACGTGCTTGTGCTTCTTACCTGTTATCTCCTGCAAGAAATAGTGAAATATCTGCCGCAAGATATGCTGAATTACCCTGAATGAAAATATTACCCCAAAACAATATATAATGGAAAAACCTAACTAGAACTTCATTTTTTGTACTTGATGCGAATTTTTTGCTACAAAAGTTCGCTTCTTGCAAACTATTACAACAACGTCGTTCCTATTTTTACACGTTATGTCAACGACCAATTTTCTAAATTAATGAAAGCAAAGCATTGTGGATTCATTTTGTTAAACTAGAAAACTAATCAACTTGATTTACGAGTCTCGAACTCATATGCCGCCAGAAAATTGCCTATCTGTAAAAATTACTTTCAAAAAGTAAGCATGAGTTCTCATTTCAATCGGACGAAATTTAAGATAAGATTTTATTATACCTATCAGAAGTCTCAATATATCTGGAAAAGTGAGCACTTGTTTACGAAATTTATCAAGCAAATAAACGCAAAATACAATGTATAGATGTTATGGTTATGCAGCTACAAGCCACGTATTTGGCTCAGGCACGGTGAAATTATTATCATGCCTAAATGCAATGAGAGATAAAAGAAGTTATGCCTAATTTGATCTTTTAGATTAGAAAGAAATTGGCTGCGATTGTATTCTTGAGAATCCCCCAGGTGTAGTTGCACGATTTTTTTTTGCATTGGTTGGGCCCACTCCGGTATTCTGCTCAGGTTCAGGCTAGTATTATTTATGAACTGGTTTATGCAGGAACGTTCAACAGGGAGAGACTCTTAAGCATTGAGAAGGTCAAACAGCGAGCGAGCTGCCTTCGATTTTCCATGTTGCAGCAAACTTCTCATCGCGTGTCTTCTCCGTTAAATCACTGCAGTATTGCTCCTGCAACATGTTCTTTTTGAGGCCGCTTCGAAAATAAGAAGAAAAACGAGCAGAAATAATCATGCTTGGTGGCAGAAAACTTGTTATGACGCAAGTTTAACTTAGCTTCTAGAATTATCACAACAAGTTGGGCGAGTGGTGGAACTAAATTTGTTTCGTGACGAACGAAACACAGTACCTATATCCGTAAGATCAGCAAGGCATCTACTAACTTTAACACACTTGCTACAAGAATAGTACTGACATTCAAATCAATAATGTTGCCAGACTCTAGCGTATGTCGTGAGAAGTAATATTAGCGGTGTCATGGAAGTAATATTACAAAAATCCAGGCTTTTTATGAAATCGGGCACCGGAGACTCAAAAAAAAAACTCCGTAAGTGAAGTCAAGACAATATCCGCCAGCTTTTGTGAGGTAAAAATAGAAATAAAAATAAAGCGGCAAGTTAATTGTAGATTATTCACTAAAAAGTTATTCCAAACAAAAACGCTTCAAATAAAATTTATTCATTTCTTTTAATGTTTGCTGCAAAAGATAAAAATCGCTCGTACTTTTCAAATCATATTAACATATAAATTGTAATTTATTCTTAAAGCCATTTATTATTTTTATTCTATATACTTACATTTATAGTCGAAAAGTCACTGTAATAATATTTATAGTAGTCACCCTAATGGCATCGTGTAATGGCATCATGATGGAGTCTTGCAACAAAATTGCTAGGTTGGGAACCTGCATACATAAGCCTTGAAGCCTAATTAGTCGATTTATTTTGCCATTACGAGCATGCACATGTGCAAGCCTCTAAAAAACAGTTTACGGTTTTTCCTCTGAACTTCTGAAGAAATGAACTGTGCAGTTTGAAATTTGTACCAAAATTTGAGGCTTCGAATTGTCAATTCAAAAAAAATGACCACCTTGTATTGCTAGTTGTTTTTTAACTAGGAAGCGAAATAGTACAAAAAAACATGTTGAATTAACATGTTACACTAAGACCCAAGTTCAAATTAATTTTGAATGTATATTTTAGGTAGGGCTATTATAAGATAGTTACAAAAAGGCAAGTGAAATTTATTTATCTAGCAATTGTGAAAATAAGCTAAAGCAGCGCCCAAGAATTTAGACGAAATTGAAATCTCCAAATGGATTTTGCCAGGCCAGAGATATCTGGGGTCACTTTTTTCTATTTCATGTCATTGTGATAGGTCCTGAATGACTGTAGACCCAGTTACGGGATCTATTAATATTATACAAATTGTTAGTCGGTGTTTTTTATGACTCAAATCGGTATGGGTTGTCTTTAGAAGGATTTCGTTATATATTTAGAGCTTGAATGAATTGAGAAGGAGAATTGAAGCGAGAACTAGATGGGAATTAGATGATAATTTCTGCAATTGAAGCGAGAATGAGATGGAATAACAATTACTACAAAGAAGTGAAGTATCTCATGACCGCCTCAGGGTTCATTGTAGATGAATCACAAATTATAGTCAATAATAGGCGTTGGTTGATTTGCCTTTAAAATTAAATAGTGTGGAATCGAATACAAATCTCATACAAAATTAGTTGAATAAAATTCTCCGGAAATTCTGCTAACGTTCAGGCAACACAAACAACCGATTACAAATAAGCACTTAAGCACTTTCTGACCAAATCCAAATTTTAAAGCGAAAAAAACACAAACTGGCATTATTACAACCATTTTAAATTTGTCGATAGAGAACAAGTTATTTTTAGAGCATTGAATTTCCTTGTAAAAAATTTTCTTCGAAACCCTGTTGGTGGTGAGGAAGGATGAAAAGTCATTTTTCAAGTTTTCTTTGTATTACAAAATTTTGTCTGCTAATTAACGCTTTTAAATATAAGTAATTCTGCAATTTGTTTTGAAAACTTAAATGCAAGACGGCAATCGAAACTTGAACTTGGCTTTCGAGAAAATGAACGAGAAGTAAATTGTAATGTAGATATAAGGTTGTTTTAAAAAATGCGAACTCATATGCTGTAATCGAGTTTCATAAGTGATTGGTCAGCTGATGATTAATTCGTTTTCTGATGAACGGTTGAAAATAACATTTATTGAAAGGTACCAATGACCAAAAGGTACCAAAAATTTCAATGAGATGACCACGCAAGCTGTACAAATGACCTTAAGTAAATGAATATCTTTAGAAATAAAAATAAAGAATTGAAATGACTGAAAGCAATATGAATATTTCTCAAATTTTCAAGACCATCATTGCTTCTAGATTATCTGAACTATATGAATGTTCATTAACACAGAAGATACTCATTTATTTTTCACTAATTTTTCGAATAAATAGACTCTAATTGATGAAGTTGTAAACGACGCATTTAAAAAAAATGAAATCTTTCCGCATGCTTATGCATAGTAAATTGTAAAAACAACGCTTTTCCTGCTTCAATTAGAGATTTGAGAACCTCTTAGAATTAACTTCTAGCCGCATTTAACTTTAATCAACGTCAACTAAATAATTTTTCAGCTATCAGACAAGGCTACAAACTAAGTATAACAAAGATATGAAAATGCGTAAGACGCGCGCAATAAACACGAAACTCTCTCTGACCACAACGCAGGTGTCCGAAAAAATCGAAGCGCTGGTGAGGATTTCTGGTGAAACGAATCACCGGTAAGAAGTGGCCAGGTTTTAAATTTCCAGGATTATTCAGGCTTTAGAGTTTCCTGCGAAAATGATAACGATAAATAAATGTATGTTCCAGTTTTGCTTTGCGATGTAAGTAAAGTTTTACAGGTATTAACAAACTTAATACAATAATACATGCAGGTATGAGCAATAATGATTTACAAACTGGGAAATGACAATGTGACAATAAAAAAGATTATAGTATGAGTATAAGAAAATGAATGTTAGCATAAAAATTATTCTGAAATTATTTAATAATGTGGTAATTACTAAACTTGCATGTAATTAACTATCTATGTGTGTATTGCAGCCAGTACCTCTTTTTGAATCCTTGTTTGCCGTAAGAATAAAAGCCGTAGTTGGTGGCCCCCAGGCGACGTTGGCCAGGAAACTTCCTCTTGGTGGTGACGAGTTGGGGAGCCGCACTCACCAGCGCCAGCATCACCACCATCATAACCACGAAAATCTAAAAAAATATTGACTTAATAAATAAATTGGCATAATTCCAGAATGATTACAACATCGCATGGGTAACATTTGATGTTTATTAAGCAAAGAATGGTCCACAAAAATTCATATCTTTATAGAAAACGTTTCGGAGTTCAGCTCCATCGTCAGTTCGTAGAATCTGGAATTAATATAGAAAGTCACAAATTCATTCATTGTCATTGTTCATACCGGTTCAAGTTAAATGGGCATCAAACATTATTACATGGAGGTTTTCGCATTTGTTCTACATACAATTCTATGCACGCTGAATTTGAATTTTTACGCAATATGTATTTTCTTGCCTAATGTATTTCCGGAAAGTTTGGTGTTTACCCAAATCAAGAAATTCATGTCTAAGCGATACAGCGAGGTTACTTCCGAGCGCGATAGTAGGTACGTTATTTTTTGTTCTTTTCCGTACTTCGGCCCTGCGCCCGAAGCTATGTCAAGAGAATTAAAAGTCTTGTTCAATAGATACTTTCCAAACGTCAAACTTCATATTGTGCTGGTAAACAATTTCAAAATCGGTTCTCTCTTTAGATATAAATATATGCTCCTGTTCATATGCGATCGTCCCTTATCAATATTGTTTCCTTTACCTATAATGTTGTGTACGATGTGCATCTGCGTACGTCGGGATGACGTCACGCATTCCTCATTCCAGGGTCGCTGAGCATAAGGGCAGGAGATGTATGACCGGACAGTTGTTATCGCGCCCCCCTCATTCGGCTGTGCGCACTCACGCCGAGCAGTGTTATGTCCCTGTTTCTGACATTGATTTTAGGGTGTTAACTTCCACCTCTGGTGCTTCAGATTTGCGTATTTTAGAATCCTTGTACATTTTTAAACTTAGGCCCAGTTTGAATTCAACTGTTAGCTTCTATCCCCTTGAAATTGTGAATATATGAGTTTTTGTGCTTTATTATTTGTAAATGTATGTTTTTAATTGCGTTCTGTGCTTTCAGTTGTTTTAATTTGTGACTTTCTTTATAAATTCTAGATTCTACGAACTGACGATGGAGCTGGACTCCGAAACGTTTTGTATAAAGATATGAATTTTTGAGGACTATTCTTTGTTTTAAATTTTTAGTGAACTTGCGATTTAAGCGAACATGTAACATCAATTCTTTAATGTCTATTTGTAAGCAAATGCCACTTTTTAAATCTGTAAATTAACATAAGGCACTCTTCAAATTTGAGCAAAAAAAAGGTTTTTCCTTTGAAACGTTAGTTAACCCTAAAATAACCCAAGTCTCAAAGCAAAGGAAAATTATCTAAGATGTATTAAATGTATCTTTCAGCATCAGTACGAAATAAAATAACTGGCTTAATTCTTCCCAATAAGTTTATAGTCTTTCATAAAAAAGATACTGTCCGTGAATTAATGAATTTTTGTAATATACGTTATTTATACAGGGGTCATTATGATTGACCCCTTAAAAATATTTTTAATTTTCAATATTCATCACACTTTTCCAGTGCATTTTTTTAACCTAACAATAAAATATTCTTAGGATCAAACATTTCTTGCCTCTGAAAATTCCAGGAATTTCATAAAGCTCGATTAAATTTAATTCAAAGAATATAATTCATTGAAATTCTCGAGTTAGAGGCAAAGCTCCTGATTATGAATGCTGCTTACCATAAAGAATTTCATTTTGACGTAGTCTTCGTTCAGCGTAAGGATCCTGAAATAATAAAATATAAATTTCAAACAGAAATTTTATGAAGAATTTTTATATTAAATCATTCATAGGTTTTACGTAGGAACTTTTATCCAAAATTATCTTTTGTGTTTTACACCTGATTTCGCAGCTACAACGTGATTATTCCAAAACTGAAGCTTAACTTAGAGTTTGCTCAGTCGAGTGAAGATAATATCAATTCAGCTTTACTTTAACAATCAAATCTATTTGTTTCACCGCACAGAGAATAGGAAGGCTGGAGAAGTGACGCGCTCGCGTGCTCGAGTCGGAAAAGATTGACATCGTGGACGTCTCATCTGGTGTCTTTATAGTTTCAAGAACTGCAGCCCGCTGCTTGTAGAAAAAAAATTGTAGGTGAAGGCGGAATTGTGAAAGTGAAAACCTAATTCCTATCCTCCAACCGCGCCTATAAAAATTGATAACTCTCAACGTATTTTCGCGAAATTCGATCTCGAAATGACGGTATACCGTTATCGTCTTATAAAGTTCGTTTACAGATTAATTAGGCGCCCGAAATCAATGTCGTAATAAAATGCATGTTCATAATTTATCTTAATTTATCTTCCTACATTATATGAGAAAATGAAGGGAATTGAATTGGAAAATGAATTTGTAATGCTTACTTTGTTATGTAGAGTTAGGCAAGCCCATAGGAACGTCCATTGTGCAGTCCGAATTTCGTGTGTGTGGTAATGTGCACTGGCAGTGTGCACCCCGAGGTTTTCATTGAGAAGAGAAAATGTATAGGTAGGAGCAACTAATGTAGGTACATAACTAATTCAACCTGTACTGTGTACATGGAGGTTTACAAACAAATGGATGATTTACCATCACACATACATAAAATCCAAGACTAATACCGATATTTAAAATTTTACCCAAGTACTATCGAATACATCGTTTTTATATTCTTCACGGTTCTTCACTGTCACTAGCAGAGACCTCAAAAATAACGCCAATACTATCTACAACACTGAATAAAAGCATAAAGCTTTCTAAAGACTAAGTACAAAGTCCATCCTACTCAAAATACACTTATTATACACGTCAAAAAATGAATTAAATTAGAGATGATTGATATCTAATCTGCGGTCTACAGCGAAATTGCCTGCCAAGTTGCAATGCCTGGTAGTCTGTCAGTCTCACAGTCTGTCACCTCGTGCAGTCGTCGGTACTCGGTCGTCCTCAGGCACTAAACCAACACATTGCATCTCTAAATCAATTCATCATTGAGCTTTTCATTTATGACACATTTCTTCACAAAATCAATTCATCATTAGGCATTTCATCATTGACGCATTTCATCGACACATTTCCTCAATCATCACTAAATCAATTCATAGTCACATATTCCTCTTTCAATGATTATTGAGGTCTATCCTCAAATTACGTAACTATAGACATTTTCTTTTGGAATTCTTTATCTGGCGGAGACTCTTCTATTTTATCGACTTCCTCAAAACTCTAAATCGAAGGTTCATCCACATTGTGAGAGGCATGGCCAATAGTATTAGCTGTAAATAATTTCCTGATCAAATTTTACCGCCCAAAAGCTCATTCACGAAGAAAGATTTTCTGAAGAGAGGCAACCATAGGCAGAGTGGCCCAGTGGTTACAGTTCAGCAGACAAAGATTGACGCAGAGAGGCGCGGCTTCGATCCCAGCTCTGTGCGCCAATTTCTGGTCAGAATCGGCGAGGAGGCCGGGCGGTTAAGCAATTCAGAATTGTAGAAGTGAGTTGCGAGTTCGAGACCGCAAAAACGCTGTGAATGTTCTGCGATGTTAAGAATCGGCGACAGGCCTACGCCCTAATAAACGCTGAAACCGCTATTATTATAACCCAACAGCCGCTCACAGCCTCACGTCACACAAACCAACATAACATAACATAACATAACATAGTGATGTCGGCTCTGAAGTGTAGGCCTGATGTGGCCTGTCGCCGATTCTTTTCCATTACGTGCCTTGTTCATAGATCTAAACTCGTGTCATTTGACCGGATCTTTTCATGACTGGCGATAGTTTGAAGAAGCTACTAGACTTCCACCGGGTTCGATAAGGAGCTAGGCATTTCAAATCTGAACATATATTTTTCCATAGCTTTATCTGAACGCGTTCATACTTGGAGCGCCAACGATGTCATCGGGAAGGCTGTTCCACATGTCGGTGATTCGAAGCGAGAAGAAATTTTGTCGCGTGGAGAAGTTGCAGCGCAATTTTTTTAGCTTATAGCCGTGGCCCCTGGTGTTGGTTCTCGGAACGCCTCGGAAATTCTGTATCACGGATCGAGCCACATTCATATACTAATGTAATAATAATCATGCTTATCGTTTTGGATGAATTCTACGAAAATTTATTCAATTTGATAAATTAACTGTTATTTCTTGAGGAAAACTGGAAAAATCGGCAGGGGTTTCTCGGTTGGTGATAGGTATATTTTTTTGTACTCGTGAGAAATCGTATTCTTTATAATTTCTGTGAGGAAAAAACCGTGACCTGATTGATCATAACTTAAGGTTTTCTAGATTAGATCATCAAAATAATCTACTTCAGCTGAGAAACCCTGGACGATATAAAAAAACATAGATTTTTGTTACCCAGGCACATTGCACAATTCCAAATCGCAAATTTGTATATAACCCCAGGGTAATCGCAAATCTTGCATATGGGTAATACGAGTGGAATTCATAATTAAAATAAGAAGCGTTGCCGCTAAAGAATAAATCGTGAATCGCCATTTCTTTTTCACTTTACAGTACACTTCTTCAATCAGATCATCGGTAATGACGGAAATGTTTCGGTACTGCCATCATTAATGAACCTCACGGTACCGCCATCTTAAATTAACCACACCAATTTATACACCAATCCATCACTAAAATGTTTTCACCGTACACATCACTGATTTGGCGATGAATGTCTACTGATGTGCAGTCTTGCGCACATAGAATCCATTTTACAGCACGCACTTAGCAGTCTGTGAAATTGTCAGTAGTAGGGGCATAATAAAATCACGTAAACACAGTTTACTCGATCGAAAAGTTCCGTAATGGCATCTGTGGCTTCCAACAGATGTATATATAGCAATATGTAATAGCGGCGTAAATAGCAAATTTAAAAATTTATGAAACCTAGAATTCAGCACAATTTTTTGTGCCCGCGAGGCACTGGAATCTCGCACCAGCATCGTCATACAATAATCCTACACTTATAGCGGGTGCTGTGTTCCACACCTCATGGTTGAACTAGTAGATATAGTTTCAACCATGCCACACCTCATCCGTAGTAGGTGAAATTCGCAAAAGGCAATTTATTGACTGATAGCACTTATTTGGGTATATATCTTGTTATTGTTTGGCAAGTTTTCATTCATTGAAATGTTCACTAACCCTTACGCACTTACTGTCGTTCGAGTTGCACGGGCTATTAAAGTATTAATATATGCCGATCGACTTCCATAGAAAACGGCGATCCGGCGAAGATTCTTCTCATTAATATTTCTTCAAAACGCGCCATAAATTCCAGCCGCGGCATAGGTGAGGTGCCCAGAATTAACAGGAATTACTGTGTGGAGCCCAGACGCTATAAAACGGACGATAACTAAAGATATAGCTTGAATGTACAATTAATTACGTGATTTGTCAGGACTTTAAAATTATTTATAGGCCTATTTCATCTTTTAATTTTCAATTTGGATCTCTAAGACTCATTGTTTTTATGTAATTTCAAAATCAAGATTTCAAGCGTTAAAAAACCTTCACTCCAATAAATAATGTGTTTTAGAGTCAACTTATAGTTGCAAAAAATAATATTTCTTAGAACTTTCATTTTCACCGTTCCGACCCTTTGAGCTCTGAATTTGGCACGAGTTTTGGCACAAAATTATTGACAGAGCCTATTCATATATGCAATTATTGTTATAGTCTCTATTCTAAAATTGTGGTGCATTTATAAGTGGTTGAAAATCACTATTTGGTTCCATTGCGCTTAACTAACATTTAATTATTCATTATCGTACATATCCTTTTTGTTCTAAAAAACTCAGTTTTCTCGTTCTTGGGCTATTGTTTTTACTAAAATATTCTTCTGTTGCTGAATTTCACTTTAGAATTAGAATCTGTCCACTGGGTGAGTGGATATTTTTATTTTCTTATCAAACCTAGAGAACTGTTTAACTGAAATACTGTTTGTCACCTTAGAGGTAAAACACAATATGTGTCATAAGGTCCGATAGTCCGTATTAATTATATTTACTTGAAATAATGTCCATGATGGTCTCTAAGTGTTGTTACTCCGTATTATTTGTCGATGTCTTAATTTAGCAGTAGTGGTAGGGAGTACAAGATTCCAATACACAATCAGAGAGTTAATAGAATATCAACTACGTTAACTTTTCCGTAGTTGTGTGGCTATCTTAGAAGAGCTTTTTGACAAAGATGGCTCTTATTCTAAACGAAAGCGAGAAATCAGCAACGAACATCATTCATAAATTGTGCACTCATGTTGTGCCAGATCTTGACAGCGCTTCTCGACAATTTATTGAAGCTTGTACCCCCAGTAATTGTAGGTAGGAAGTACCCTAACAAAATTCGGGGTATGCTTCAGCCTCCGCCCCAGAGTTGCTACAGTATGTTCGCGTAAGAGTTATTCTGAGTCAGTTGGCCAACTGATCGCAATCAGCGACTAGTCATGCAGAACCTCCTTGCCGACTTTATAGTCTCCTGAGAGTAGGGCAAGAGTTGTCAGAATAAGTACCAGAAGCTTGTAGCTGTCTGATTCGGGGACCGGAATGTAGACCGAAAAGGGGACAAAGGGAAGCTGGTGGACTATGCTCCCCGAGTCCTAGGTGTTCCTTAATCTAGAGCCGAACTCGGCTCTAAATTTTGTTAGGGTAGTTTGAGGTCGTACTGCGTGCTTTAATAAGGAGATCGTCTGGGCAAAAATCTGAAGACATTTTAATTGAAGCTATGAACAAGATGCTTTTTATGCAGCCAACGTATGTACTTTTGTGCGTGCTTTAGTTTGTGCATAAGCCCGTACTAACTGGTAAAATATATGTATATTTCGACAATCGATTCAAGTTTTCCTTAAGATTTAATATTAATTTGGATTATTATTCGCACTAACGTAAATTAGGCAAAATGAGTCCTATGGCGCATGATGTTACCATCCTTATGAGTTATAGGCGATAATAAACCGGGGATACAGTATTACGCAATTTTTTTCAATTTTACTCATTTATAAACCTGCATGCATGTACATATGTACAGCTTTTAAAGTTTTATTTAGTCATTCAGCAGCAACAACATCGAGAGACGTGCAAATGCAAATATCTAGCGCTCTAGAAGCTTATTTTTGTCATTTATTTATAAGCAACGAAAACGCAAAATAAATTCACTGGATCTTCATTGAAAACGTTTTGGAGGCTAGCTGCATCATCAGTTCAAATGTATACTTAACACAATCACCACTAAAAATTCAAATATAGACGAAAGAAATTAAAAACCTAAGTTATTAAAAAACTGCAAACGGAACATTGAAAACTTTCTGTCTTACAATTACATGAGGATAAAAACTGTAAGCGTTATTAAGACAAGGTTTCAGTTTAAAAATATGCAGCGATTCCCGAATCCTTTAATCCAAACAACCGCAGGTGGAACCAAGTATCGTGAATCGCTCTCAGACATAGTCAGTGAAGCTGTCAGTCGCGTCACACTATTCAGCGTGAACTATGCACAGTTTCTTCACTTGCTTGACAAGTCTACTCCAATATAATCAGTTACATAAAATTTACACTTGCTTAAAAACGAACTCTCGACAAGCGAAACAAAAGAGAGTGGATTGGTTCAATATTATTGAATGAAACGTTGGACGCGTGTCAAAGATCCTTATCATGAATCAGTGTACAGTAAAATAATTTTCGGCAATATATGGAAATACCTCGCACGCTTCAATCAATTTAGCGGCTATATTAAACATTTCTGCCATCTTAGCGGCAAATGTGCATTTAAAATTTGTTTGGATTCTCCTTTGCAGATAATGCTATAATTTTTATGGAAAAATGCACTATTGTGCTCGCCATGCCCGTCCGTCCGTCTGTCTGTCTGTCTGCCGTCTGTACGTCCGTCTGTCCGTGACCTCAAGTTTTCCTCGACGAGAAAATGCGCTCTCTGTCACTCACTGCAGTGAGTACTGAGTTATATTTTTTCAAAATTTATTGATGGAAGATGCGCGGTAATTACAAACTGGCTTCGCAGACCTTGGCTGCGAGGACGACCTGCCTGTCGCGGCTGAGGGCAACAGAATACAGAGGCGGTGCTTCAGCGTTAACCGAGAGGTTAGCCCTACGATTCTTGGGTTTGATAATCTCTGAAATTTTATACCATCGACATTTCGAAGCACATAATGATTAATTTCATTAGTAATGATAAATCTGATGAATTCCAAATAAAGAAAGACCCGTTCAAGCTCACATTCCACTTAATCCACTTTTTTCTTTCGATATGCAAACTGACTATTTTGTGCAGTTTAAATTGAATTCGCATGTAGAAATCAATTAGATAATATCAATTTTTGTCCAATCCTTTCTTCCCAGTTTTTGCAATGCATTACTATTTCAATATGAATGAATGAAATTTAAGATCCAGGTAATTATTTCAGGTCTCTACCCGGAAATTTAAATTTCAGGTCCCGACCCAATAATTTTCGAATATACGTGCCCGAAGAACAGTTTATATTATATAAGTTTTGAAAACCTACATTAACAATCACAAAAATAACAAACCCTTGAAAAATATCTGAAATGTTGTATCTGGAGTAACAGCAAAATTTTGAATTGATTTTTTCAAGAGAATCTTAATTCAATTACAAGTAGAGGTTAGGACATAACTTTTTAGGTTTTAAGCACATAATAAAGTAGAAATTTTCTTAGACTTCTATAAAAATCCGCGGGTTTCTTTGGATAAAGTTAATACAAGAATCGTAGATGATTCGACACAGAAAACTTATTTATATCAGAGTTTCTGGAGGTTTCTGGAAAAAAATAGCAACTAACTTATAATACCAGGCATTGTTATATAAGGGACATTATTTCACATAAAATAGAACTGTAATGTATAACAAAACTAGCAAAATAATCATCTTTGATATAATGCGATGCAAAGGAACCTTACGAAGCTCCTATACCGAATCATCTGATGGACTAGGTCGTGCGAAAATACTTAAGAATGAATTCGTATAGCGTGTTGTTGCGAGCTTATCTGACTAAGATCTGACTAGCGACTTGCTGACGATATTGATAACACCTCGTATTCAATATTAAAGATCGGATCTAGCTGCTACTGATAGACCTTTGCACTTAATAATTAATGACGTGGCGAAAAATGGTCATAGTCATGTTCCAAATTTGTTCTCTATCTTATAAATTACGGCTATAACCGACAATATATTTTGATAAAGTATAGTCATGTAAATTTGATGCTGTCGTGTAGTTCTAGATTTGATTTGAATATTCGAAGTAAAAGAAGACATTAGATTTTGAGGATCTAAAAGCATAGAACTTAACACTTCTTATGCATAGGATTCTTTATACAAATACTCGAAATGATCACCAGAACTTAAATAGTATAAACTGCAATTGGAATTGAGCTTGATTCACCACGAACAAAGCAAACCACTTATCGTAAAAAATAACTTTACATTATAAATGTAGAATAATAAAGGATCTTCTCTCAACTTTACACATCCATTTTACCACTTATCGTAAAAGATAACTTTACATTTAAAATGTTTAATAAAAAAGGGTTTTTCTGAACTTTACATATCCAATTTACCGCTTACCGTAAAAGATAACTTTACATTAAAATGTTTAATAACAAAGGGTTTCTCTGAACTTTACACATCAATTTTACCGCTTAACGTAAAAGATAACTTTACAATAGAAATGTTTAATAACAAAGGGTTTCTCTGAACTTTACACATCCATTTTACCGCTTATCGTAAAAGATAACTTCACATTGAAATGTTTAATAATAAATGGTTTTTCTGAACTTTACACATCCATTTTACAACTTACCGTAAAAGATAACTTTACATTAAAGTGTTTAATAACAAAGGGTTTCTCTGAACTTTGCACATCAATTATGTAGCTTTGCGACCACACAGCGAAGTTGTGGCAGCTGAGGCCTTGCATGTGGCATGTCAGGTCAGACCTCGACACTGTTTCATCCATCATAGCCCGCACTGCACGAGAAAAATTGGAATAATTAATCTTTATTCCTTAAATATAACTTCCTTTTAACATTCAGTCATTTAAATTAAGTGAAATATGTTGTTCTAAACGGAACTAAAATCGTCTCTCATAGTGTAAACACTATTCGATCACTAATAAAATATTAAGTTCGTCAGTACTAGCAACACACTGCTAGGTTAAAACTCCTAAAAATATCAATTTATTATCAATATCGTTAGCTGAAAATTTGACTCTGAAATTTTAACTGACTCTGAAATTTTAAAGCATAGAAACTGTTTGAATACTTCAAAGAGAATTACACGGGACAGCAATTAGTAAAGTATCCGATCGTGTGTGTCATGTGATTGTTGTTTAATTGAGCTATGCCGTACCTCTTTTTGAATCCGCGTTTGCCGTAAGAATATAGACCGTAGTTGGTGGCCCCCAGCCGACGCTCTCCAGGGAACCTCCTCTTGGTGGTGACGAGCTGGGGAGCTGCACTCACCAGCGCCAGCATCACAACCATAATAATTAGGAAAACCTGAAAAAATATCGATATCAATCAATGATGATTCCTAAATAATTACAACATCGCATGGGTAACATATGTACGATGCTTTTTTGTAAGTTATTTACTCCATATAAATCTATAAATTATTATAATCTAGGCTTTGATGTTGGAAAAATAGTTAAAAGGGAAAAGTTTTTCACATAGGAAAAGTTTTTCACAGATGCAATCATCACAATTAAAGGTTTTTTTACATCACAATCACGAAGACCTTTTTTCCCGTGTACGCTATCCATTGATATTCTGAAAAGGTAACGGCAATGGTCTACGAATGAATATATTTTTTGACTTAATCGGTTAAGTAATGTAATTTATTTTCAAATGCGGGAAATAAAACGGTAATCACTCAGTTATTGACAATTTAGAAAAGTCTATGATTAATCTTAATGTAATTTAAAGCAGTTTATAGCCATTTAAAATGACTGTGTTAATTCATTCAATGTATTTGAGATCGGAAATCGCTTCTTATTGTCAAGAATGCAAACATTATTTGTGTTTAGAGTTTTTTTCACAGTCAATTTTACTCCATTTTCAAAAGAGTGATTCTCCGAGAAGCAAATTGTTTATCAGACGGATAAATCAAGCGTCCTGCAGCTGTTAAAAATTTCAACTGCATTTAACGAATTTAAATTTATTTCTATTAACAAGTCTAAATCGATGCTTACGCTTATGAATGGATCGTACCTGAACAAAGTTCATGGCGATGTATTGTTCAAACGATGAGGATATTCTGCAATTGAAACAACTATAAATAAGGAGTCATAAATAAAAACATACTATAAATTGAAATTAGAAATGTAGTGGTAAGTTAAAAATAATATTATGCATGGTTTCGCTCCCATAACAGAGTTTTTTTCTGAACATGAAAGCAATCTAATGATCATCCAATTGAAGGAACGATTATTTATAGGGATATTTACCTCACCCGTTAGTAGACAAGTAGCAATCTAAAGTGGCAGCGGCTTGATGCGTTCAAGGATCTGAGTCGGAGAAGATTGACAGCAGCGGCGCAGCATCAGCAGTCTTATAGTTTCCAGAACTGCCGCCCGCTGTGCACCGAATTATGGGTGAAGGCTGCATAATTAATGACAATATTATTAATCATGATATATTATTATAATTTTAATGAATAAATGAATACTTGACTACCCTCGCTCATCATTATCGCCGGCATATGTTGTGTCACGAAATTCATTTGTGAAACAGCAAGAAATAAATTGTGTATTTTTTAGATCGTTTAAAATTAATGCGTCTGAGAACAGCAATACCATGTCCAGGAATGTATACAACTGATCTTTTCAGCACTGAATTGCGATTGAACGAAATTTATTAGAAATTTTTTGTGTTTCATAATTATACTTAAAATCTATACTTCTCCGTCACGTTCATGAATGATTCCCGGAAGATACAATTAACGTGCCTCGAAACGATTCGATAATTTTATAAAAAATGGTAAAAAAAGTGGTATTAACAATGGTCTAAGAAAAAATTAATTAAATAATTTGTCGTTCAATTGCAACCTTAAAATATTTCAAAATTCTATTAAAACTATTTAGAGGACAGAAATTTTGTTATTTCGTGAATGCAAATGTTCTACGCTAAAATCTAAATAGCATGGAATCAGAACTGGTGTAAATTGAATTGTTAGCCTATGCTAGAGTAGTTGCGATATGATTATTCTTACATATTAATTAATTGTATTAACACAGTTTTTCAAGGATCACAGAGGTAATAAATATATACTCACGTGGATAACCCCAAAAATTTAGCTTTGGCGCCAGTGAGCAATAATTGTAGAAACCAAAAACATGGACATTTATTACTTCGTTACTTAGACGACAAAGAATGAATCTATGAAAAAGAAAAATTCCGAAGAAATATTTCAGGTGAAGCCATATTCTGTAAATTTTAAACCTAGCTAATATATTTTATTACATGCTTTTTTCTGAAAATTTAAAATAAAAATACGGCAAATCTTTCTAACAATTCCAGAAAATCTTTAGATCTCTGCATGACAAAAATTCCAATCCCGTTCTTCCAAATTAAAATTGATTAAACATTGCCTACGCGCATCGTTGGGACCATTTTAAGCAACACTGCGACACATCACACAGTTTATAACTGTAAGCAATGTCGCCAACCTTCAAGAAACCTGTAAATTTATGTGATCGCTGATAATGTCGGTGGCACAAAAAATTACGTTCATGTTGGGTATTACCTTATAAATACAAAGATAAAGCGCTAGATGCGTGGCCATAATTTACCTACAAACATCTTGAGGGGAAGATGATGAAATTGAAAGTACATCTGCATGCATACGAATTCCCTCTGAAACTAGTTCGTCAATTTACGGTCAATTTAGAGTAAATAAATGAAATGACTGTGAAATAAATTCGCTCCGATTATTTGGTTTCAAGGTGGAATAATTCCAGACGCGTTTTGGTTCTTGCCGACGGTTTCTGCTGAACGAGAAACTTTAATTAAGACAATACGCCGTAAGAACAACGCAAACCTCATACAAAACGAAAACTGTACACAAGTTTGATATTGCAGATAAGAGTGTTATGTTCAAAGCTTACCAAATTATTAAGATAAAGCTTGGATTACTTTACTTGCCCTACATTTCATTATAAAGTTAAGTGGTGTGGATATGGCACAGCACCGATGAAGGTTTTAGCCCCCATCGTAAAGTACCTACTTTTGCCTGCTGAAACTATAATACTACGAACTATATACTACGAAGTACATACTACGGGCACAGGGAAGAATCCTAAATTATACATCGTTAGCACATAAGCAAACCTTCATAATTTTAATGACTTTCTTTTCTAAATTAATTGTTTCTCTTGACCTCTCAATTCCAAACCGTATACCAAAGGATATGTATTTGATTTTTAAGAGAACCATTTCTTAAGACTTTTCTATTATATGGGATGAAATCCATCCTCAAAACATCACGCTGCCACCATCAAGCTTCGCTTTTTTTACTTCGTATGTGCATTTTGCTCACGCATTTGCATTTTGCTTTTTATATGAAATGCTAGGTTACAACTGGAACTTTGATATGTAATAGTGCGGTATCTTACATACGAGATTTTTTAGTCCTGATATAAATGTCCCCTGTCTCTCCACTAATTTGCCGAAATATATTAATTTTATAGCAGTCATTCTCACGGTGTCGCGATTTTTTACACTATGCAAAAACAAGTTTAGTGTCTTGCATCTAGCGCTTTATTTGTAGGCAGACTCCGCACTACGAACAATAGATAACTGATATAGTGCTCAATGCGATGCCCTTCATCATTATCTATACCTCTACCAACAAAAAAAATCTAGCTAGCTCTTTGCATCAAGGCTATCAGAAGTCAATTGTCCAATGAGAGTTTCCGTAGCTATATTCAGCCATAGTGATCAAAACTTTTCTTTTACTGCGGAAAAAATTTTTAACCCTGGTGCAAAAGATGCAGTTTCATAGACGGTCTCATGGCCCATTTATAAAACAGTTGGACAACAAAAAGCTGATCATGCCATGCAGATGCAGTTCCGAGTGTGATAATGTGGATCCATTCCGCATTCTATATATTTCTCCTTCTTTCTATCGATCAATATTAACGTGAGCAGCTCATGATCGTTATTATCAAAAAGCATTTTGAAAAATCGGGCCCTTGAGACGATGTTTTAAAGTTTGTGAGAGTTGTACGAAGCACAAATAATTCGTATACTTATCTAATATCCAAATAATTAGCATGAGCAGATTGACTCGGTATGGCACGGGCTCGATGATCCCTACAATAATTGTAGAATCCTTCCGTCACGAACCCAGTCATTCCTGTTGTCCCGATTCTCATTATTTATAATAAAGTGTACCCCTAACAAATTCAAGGTATGCTTCAGCTTCCGCCCCAGAGTCGCTATACTCGCGTTAGAATTATTATGGGTCAGTTGGCCAACTGATCGCAATCAGCGACTAGTCAGAACCTCCTTGTCGACTTTATAGTCGCCTGAGAGTATGGCACGAGTTGGCAGAATCCCCTCAGTCCCCTCACCAGGCCCAGGCTCTGGTAGCTGTCTGATTCGGGGACCGGAATGTAGACCAAAAAGCGGACATAGAGAAGCTGATTTACGTTCGGTCCGAGTCCTATAGGCGGTTCCTAATTCAGGCTCGCCACCAGCTAAAAATTTTGATAGGGACGTGGGCTAATTAAAGAAAAAGCCAGTTCAACTTTCATGCCCATATTTTGCATGAAACGATTACGCGTCAATTCTATTCTTAATCTCACCCTCCCTCGTTTCAAGATTTGAAACAAATATGTGGCTTCATTTAAATTAAATTTCTACAACCAATAAAAATTTTAAATTTGTATCCTACCCTTTCCCCCCAGTTGAGCAATGTCTCACAAGTCTCCCATTACAAATAAATTTTCAGTTTCGGGTAATACCCAGGCATGAATTAGTATCGTAAATACGTACTTTCATGCAGCTGTCTCAATTTATTTACGGCATTATATGGTTTCAAATACACATAAATTACCTTTACAAATTGGGTTAAGATTCATATACTAAACACTCGACAAATGAAAATCTAGTAGCAAGTAAGTTTAGTTCTGAAACGGATGACTAGCCCATACCTCAGAAGTTATGATGAAAAAGTTCCGATTCCGTGAAACTTGTCTCTCTTAATAATGAGAGACAAGTTCAACTATTTTGAATTCAACTATTAAATATTTTTAACTGCCACCGCTAAAAATTTTAAGCCTTTTAAACTTATCATCATGCAATTATGACACTATAGAGTTGAAATAACTATAAAATTCATATCCAAATGTACTCTCCGCTCCTGGATCTTAATATGCTTGTGATACTTTATAAAAGATACTCAGCAAATTTTCCTGCATGTCGGCTCGTAAAATGCGTTTAATTTATGACTGAGCTTGTCTCTTATGAACTTGTCGCCGAAGACATATACCAAGCAAATGCTACATGCAAAAATAATGCACTGCGCACGTACTGTATTTGTGGGGTTCTCTGGTGGCAAATGCGCAGGATCCTTCGTAAAACTACTGGTTTCCGAATTCATGCATACAATTATTAAGCCAAATTGTAAATTGAGCTAATTTTAATTTTAAACATACACAAAAAAAAAACATTTCATAATCTATATCCGCAAGGCTTCTTAACTTACGCTCTGATAAATTAATGGGTCATTGTCCTAATAATTACGCACTTTCTTCCAACAACACGAGTAGAAAGTTGTCAGGGCGCTGATACTCCCATTTGTCAAACTGTTTTATAATAACCCACTCAGAGAAAAAAAGTGTTGGCATCAGCAATCCTAGTATGTTGCATCGAAATACTAATTAACATCCTACTATTGCGTAGCATGGTATTCCTGCTCATTTTACATGCCAAACTCGCCTTGATTTACGTGCATCTTTAAATTAGATCAACTTATACTCCTGCGCACCTTGTATCGCTCGGTCTCGTCTGGCAAATATAATTGTCATCAGAAACAATACACAGCTTATTGCATTAGCACTGTATTTTACTTTTACCTGTTACATAAATTCAAAAGAATAAAACTAATTTCCTCAATTCTTCGAATGTGGAGGTTTGCAAATGAGTCTCAAGGTAAGAGTCGAGTGCTGGACGTGTTCTCAACGAGTCACAACGATTTACTGTGCTGCATGCCTGATTAATTGACCTCGGATGGGTAACCAATGTAAATAAAATGTGTTGGACATACGAAATTTAAGATATACATGCAGCGTCTCAATTAGTAGCAAATCACATTTTTAGCGAGAAAGTATTTCATTGTAAACTGCAAATAGCGACGCGTGTAAAACGCTTATATACAATAGTATTGTTGATATGTAGGTTAAAATTATACGCTTTTCCAAGCATGCTTCGTCTAATAAATGAAAGAGATATTCTTAGACGTATTTACGTGGCTGCGACATTGTATAAAAATAAGTTTTCCCTATCCCAAATTGCTTTTCGCCTAAGTTTTTATTACATTCGACAGTAG